TTTTAAAGGAAGACTTACTGGTAAAGTTATCAGACTTCAGCTTAAGATCTCTATTTTGGAGATTTAGTTCTGGAGTTAAAGGTTGTATAAATAGGATCAATTATTAATTCAGGATGTATTTATTTTTAATTTAAATTTTTGATTGTGGTAAGATATGAGTATACATAAAATTTAGTCTTTCTTTTTTGGAGGTGTTATGTTGAGACAGGGTCTCATTGTGTAGTGCAGGCTGGCCTTGGACTTACTATGTAGCCCAGGCTGGCCTCCAACTCATAGCAACCCTCCTGCCTCAGCCTCCCAAGTGCTGCAATATAGGCATGTACCACCTTGTCTGGCAAAATTTGCAGTCTTAACCATTTTTAAATGTATCGTTCTTTAGTATTGAGTGCATTCATACTACTACGCAAATAATCTGCAGAAACATTTCTGTCTTACATAACTGTAACTCCTTATCCATTAAATAACAGTCCCCACTTGTTACTCCCCCCTGCCTCTGGCAACCAACATTCTACCTTCTCTGTTCTGAATTTCACTATTCTAAGAAACTTTTATAAGTGGAAATATTTTGTGACTGGTTTATTTCATTAAGCTCATGTTCTCAAGATTCAGCTGTATTTTAGCTGGGTCAGAATTTCTTTTTTAAGGCTGAATTAAATTCCATTTTGTGTGTGTGTGTGACCCAGTTTATCTGTTTATGCATTCGTGTCAGTGGGCAGCGGGTCAGTTACCATGTGAACATTTCCTGTATGTCAGTGCCCTTCCATGGAACGGGGCATGCTGACTGCCCTTGAGACAGGTCCCGTCCTGGGCACGAGAGTGACGCAGCAATGGACATGCAAGGCCGAGATGCAGCCCTCGGGAGGCTCGTGTTCCAGTGGATCGGAAGGTGGCTGAGATGGACAATAGAGACACACTTGATTCTAAAATGCACCTTTTTACTTTCACATTTTAATGTTTTTTAAATTGAGGTGTGCCTTATAATTGATGACATATCAGAATTATATCTGGTAGTGTTTCTTTTTAGTGTCCCCAAAAATAATGGTGTGTTTTATAGTCACTTGAATCATAGCGCTGATGAATCACTCTTCAGTCTGCTGCTAAGTGCTATAAAAAACAAATCAGGACAAACGGGATAGACAGTTGCAGAGGTGGGGTGCATACAAATGAGATGAGATTTTAGCAGAGCATGTCTATCTCCAGTGATACTTTTTGTAGTGGGCCCTTTCCCCTTAAGGAAGGAATGTGTCAGTCCACTTTGTGGACCATGCACCTTACCTGGTGTGGGCTGCCTGTGGTTTGCAGCCTGCCTCCTTGAAATTGCGTTGGTGTAGAGTCAGCCTGGCTGGGTAGGGGTATGGGGTGCTGTGCACAATGAGCCCTGGTCTCTTAGTGTGATAAACATAGCATCTCAGTAATTCAGTGACTGCCGACAGTTCTTCCAGTTGCTCATAACAGAACTTTGGTGTCATTGCTGACCTCTCCATGTGCTCACGCTTTATACCCAGTCTGTCAACAAACTCTGCCTGCAGTACCTTTAAAACCTGTTCCAAGTCTGAGGTCTTCGAGCATGTCTACCCAAACGTCCTTCAGTCAAGCCATTGTTCTCTCTTGCCTAAATGATCTGAGCAGCCTCCCCACTGGCCTCCCCTCTTCTACCTGTGCCTTCCTGTGATCTCTCAGCTTAGCAATCAAAGTGATCATTTAAAAGGTGCCTGATGGTGCCATTTCTCTACTTGCCACCTCTCCCCCAAGAAAAAAGCATTCCGTTGCCCTCCAGGAGAGGATAGCATCCTTATAGTGGCCCACAGGGCGCTCCTCTCTTTGCTCTCCCACCTCTTTGAATAGTTCCTGTGTGCCTCGGCGCATCCTCTCCCAGCTGCATTGGCTGCCCGCTGCACACTGAGTGGAATCCTTTCTCAAAGCATTTTTCCTGCAGTGTTTGGGAAGAGAACTGCCAGGTCCACTCCCTAAGGTCTCTGCTCAAGCCTTTCCTTATCAAAAGAGTTTCCCCTGACGGCCCCATATAAATGACCCCTTCCTTGTCCACTTGTATCTTTTCACCCTATAAGCAAGATGGGCTCAGTCCTGCCACAGAAGGTAACAGCTCCAAGGTATCAGATGCCTGGCCTGAGGGCCAAGGTTTGCTTGTCACCTTGAGAGCCACATCTCAATTGTGATTCCCTGAGGCCAGGGGTGGCAGAGCTGTGGTGGAAGAGTCTGTCCTGCAGTGTCTTTAGTCCTGAGGGCTGGCCAGAGAGGGTGGCCACCATCTGAGCACTGGCTGTTAAGGTACATGCATGGAAGTCACATATCTTAGGTTTACTTGCCTGGTGTGAGTCTTCTTGCCTTTCTTACTGCAGTGGGATGAGTGGGTGGGTAGCTTTGAATCCTGGAAACATGGTAGATAACAGCCATAGGTCTAACCCCCTTTATTTTTCTATAGTGTTTGTTTCCATCTGACATTAATATGTATCTGCTTTGTTTTGTTTATTTTCTTTTCTCTCCTGTCTTGACTATAAACACCATAAGGCTAGGGACTCTGTCCTTTATTTACTGATATACCCTAGATCCTAAAAAATGCAGTGTGCAATAGGTTCTTAGTATTTTGGGACCACCATGGTGGATCATGTATTCATCTGGTGCCCAGAACCAGGTTAGAAGTGCAGAGGTGGGGTGTTGAGGAGACAGGAGCAGCTGGCACTAGACAAGCTGGCAGAGACTTCCCGCGGGAAGGCAATAAAGAGTGTCCTGGTGCAACTTGAGACTGGGAACTTGGAGTGAAACATTGCAGCCCCTCTCTGATTTTCTCCATTTACGTCAAATTGCTTAGGGTTAGCAGAGAAGAGGCAGCAGTGACAGACCGAGCCATTTGACAAAGAAAATGGGGATTCAGAGTAAAGAAAAAAACATGATCTCGGCTCTCCAGGTCATGCCTCTACCATGCACTCCCTCAGTCCTGTAGAGTGACAAAGAGTTTGCCTGGCAGGACAGAAGCCCGCCCTTCGGGGACCGTGATGGTGCAGCTCATAGGAGTTGTTTGCCTTTCATTCATTCATTCTTTTCCTCTTGTGATATTCTTGAAGTAGGTTTTATACCCACTTTATAGGTGAGGAAACTGAGGTTCTCCTTGGTCCCAGAGAATTTAGGTTGGCCACACTCAGCCATGGCAGCTGCTCTACTTTTGAGGCACTGGGCAGTAGGAGGCTCTGTTAGATTTTTAGATTCCTTGGGGGCTTGATGAAGAGAATATGTAACCATTGCATAGTGGTTCCAGTTTAAATGTGTGCAAGACCTTACCAGCGAGGAAATAGCGGGCTATTTTTATATGCTCAAGCAAGCACAATAACCACAGTAGCGAGTGCAGCAGCTACTTCCACCCCCAGGGAATTTCTTATGAATAAGATTAAACAGTGCCTGACAGAATCTGAAAGTGACCGGGCCCCTGACTCTGATGCTTGTCTGTGGTCTTGCCTGTTGGTACGAGGCTTATGGCATGGGCCTCCCTTTGGGAATCTGTGGAAGACTGTAATTGGGAAGACAGAAAATGGTTAAAGCAGGGTGGAAGCCAGGGTAGGAAGTGGGGAAAAGCCTTGTCACTCAGAATGGTTCGCTCAGGCCGGTGGAGGGAGGTGGAAACACAGCTGTCACTCAGCGCTACATAGGATTGACAAAGAGGGTATCTGTGCTGGGCAGGGATGAGTGGTATTTGGGATTTTTCTGAAACACTGAAACAGAAGCCATTGTGTTCAGGAGGCCAAGAGAGGAACAGTTCGGTTGCCATAAAGGATCCATAGGACCGAGCTGCTGGAGAGGCGGGTACACCGGAATGTGGGTCTGGGGAACAGGCAGGAGGGTGCAGTTCTGTCCCCGGGGGTGATGGGAAAGCAACCAGGCTGGTGTGGTATTGGAGGGAAGAAGATCCACGCCCAGACATGCTGGTCCCAGCTTTGCAAGATGATGTGGTGGCACCAGTGTGATCGCACCTCCTGAAACCAGGCGGTGTTACTGTAATCACTGGGAAAAATTGGGCTCCATCATACTCTTTAAATATTTTTGTTGAAAATGTCCTTTTTACTTTAAAAATCTCATTGAAGTTGTAAATGTAGAAGGAAATGAAAAAATAGACTTTCTAAAAGTGCAGTAATTTGTTAAAAACATTAGAGATATTAAGAATCAAGTTGTTTTATTTCTTTGTAAAAAAATGGATCAAGAGTACTTAGAATAGTGTTTGCTTTCTTATGTGACTCCTAACCTGGAGTAATCCCTTCTGTACCTCATGATTGTCACCTGCCTTTCTGAGTTTGGCTATTTCCAGAATTTCATTTTCTTTGTTTTCAGGGCCCTGAAATAGTGTGAGAGTTCTCAAGGCGAAAGTTTCTGCCAGCTGCCCTTCTTCTGAGATCTCTCAGCCCATTTCATCACAATCACTGCATTAGTTTCCTTTTGCTGTTGTAACAAATCATCACAGATTTGATGGCCACTTGTAGCATGTGGCAGAGGTCACACAGGATCTCATGGAAAAGTAACTGGGACCGCTCTTGCATTCAGGATGGAAAATCTCAGGAGGCTACTGCAGTCGGCTGTGTTAACACTCTTACCTCTTAAAAATTTTTGTTGTGTTTTATTTTGAAACGAATGTGTTTCTCTCCTGCATACTCTGGAGCAAGCTGGTTGATATGGTATAAAACACTCAACTTCTCCACTTCTTCACACCTGAGTAACCATTTTCTGGAGGGCATCCTGCTGAGGTTCCTGGCAGTAGCTTGGCTTGGTCTCCTACAAGTCAGCCAACAATGCAGCCCTGCTGTGAGTCTGTGTATTGCCAGCGTCCTCCCATGGCCCCCTTCTGCAGGGAGATGTCTCACTGGGAGCCAAGCACAGAGTTTCTGTGCTTCATCTGCATTTGGATTTTAAGAAGGGAATTCTCTTGCTTTCCGCCCACGTGGTTTTGTTTTAATCTTGGGGGTAATCATCCCGAACATGGTTTCCTTTCCCCCTAGACAAGGCGCCTCTGTCAAAGAGTCTTCTGCTGGTTCCCAGTGCCCTGTCCCTCCTGCTGGCCCTCCTGCTGCCACACTGTCAGAGGTTCTTCGTGTATGACCTCCATGCCGTCAAGAATGACTTGCAGGTGAGCACAGCTCCTTCAGCCTCTAGGATTTGCCTTTTTCCTTGCTATTTCTCAGGTCCCCAAAGTCCCTAAATTTGTTAAGAAATACTTTTTATTAATATTTCCTTGACAAGTACATTTTCTGGTTGTATTTATTGATGTCTTCAATGAAGCAGATGGTAGTGAAGAAATTGCAGTATTTTCGTTCACTGGACACATCTATTTCAGCTTCACTTTTTACTCTTGGAAATGAATGTATAATTTCAAGGGAAGTTTTGAAACAATCATTTTTTTTTTAAGGTTCACTCTCTGCATATTTAACACTTCCAAGAACTTGGCTCAATTTGAATACTTGGTTAGATCTCCTAAGCTCTTTCAGCTGTAACACAATGTGAATTTATGATTGTATTATGGTAGTTGTTAAAACAAATAGGAAATTGTTCTTGAGTTTTTCTTGTTGGGAAGAACAGAATTTGAGAACTTCCAAGACTAATGGACTGAACTCATTGGAAATGGTGGTGCTGGGGTTCTTGTCTATGAGGAGGAGCTAATGAAAGTTATGCTGTATAACCCCGTACCCTCAATACTAAATACTTGGTTATCCATCTCAGCATGGAATGCAGTGCTTGAACACTGGCAGCTTTTCTTCATAGAGATTCAGTAAGTACCATCGCTCAGATTGATGTCACCAAAACGCCATGGAGGTCTTCAGTTATTATTTGTATTGTCACTCTCAAAATAGAGAGTGGCTTCTGAATTGTAAGAGTTTCTATAATAGAGTGGTTCTCAGCCTTGGCTGCACAGTATAATCACTTAGAGAAACATTAAAAGGATACATACACATACATGCATGTTTAAAACCCAGAATGATGTCACCCTCGTCCAACTGAGTGCAAGAGGCAGGCTGGGGCGTGGGCGCTGGTGTACTTTTTAAAACAATCCTCAGCAGATTCCAGTGTGAGACCAGCCTAGAACCCAGAGGAGCGCTGCCAGGAGACAGTGTATGGGGGCCTTCTTGATTTCTGGGGTTCATGTGGTTCATTTGGCTGAGCACTACTCCACTGGCACCTGTACTTGAAAGTGTCAGTGTAAGGACTGCTACAGACACACAGGATGATACAATATTGAGACATGAGTGTGCACTAGATCTTTGGATGATGCTAAGTGAAGTCAGAGCGTGGCATAGGCCTGGGAGCTTGGGATGTGAGTTTTTAGTGGGATCTGGAATGAATGAGTTATGCTTATGCTTCTAGGCGTCATGAACTTCAGACTTCAGGAGTATAAGGGGAGGGCACGGTGGGTGACGAATCAGGCTTGGGCCGGGTGAGTTGATAATGGCTTTGTTTTGTTGGTTCTAATTCTTCTAGATTTTGGCCATTAAGGTGGACATACTATCTTCACTTTCCTTTAGGGATTTGTTGAGTGTGAGCCAGTGCTCAGTCTTCATGGTTGTTTGTATCAGTTTATTCATACACCAGGTCTCAAATGCTCATGTTCTTAAGAATGGTTCCAAAGCATCAGTTATTGAAAACTGTAGCTCTTAGTTTTATTTGTCACTAAACATAAGAACTCACATGCCCATGATGGTTGTTCCTGCTTGAGCATGGGGCCTTTCGCACTGAATCCAGTTGTGGCCTCACTTTGGGCCTACAGGCAGCTAGACCAGTCCTGCTGGGCAGGTGGAACGAATGCCTATGCCAGCCCAAGCCAGCCCAGAGCTCTGAGTACACTGACGGTGGACCCTGCCGAGTGTCTCGCTTGGAGCAGAGACAGATTGGAACTCTTGCGACAGAGCATTGTCAGTTTTCTCCTCTGTGTTATTATTTCATTTGGCAAGAAAAGAAGCTGTGTCACTTTAGGAAGTGAAACACTTTCTCTGGGCCTCTCCCTTTCTTGATCTTCAGATAGCAGTAGTATTACCAGCGTTCATAAGAGCATTGTTCACAATAGCCAAGAGGTGGAAACAAGCCTGTGTCTGTAGCAGGGAGATGAATGAGTAAAGCTTGGTAAGTGCAGACCATGGAATTTATTCAGCAATGAAAGAGAGTGAGATTCTGATGCAGGCTTCAACGTGAACCTTGAAAGCCTTGTGTGAAATGAACTAAATAAGCCAGACACAAAGGACAAATACTGTATGATTCCACTTACGTCAAGTACCTAGCACAGGCAGATTCACAGAGACAGAAGTCACCAGAGGTTGTGGGACGGAGAATCGGGTGTCAGTGAGCAGTGGATGCAGCGTTCCTATGTGGGATGTTAAAAATGGCCTGGGAATGTATAATGGTGATGGTCACACAATCTGAATCCTCTTAATGCCACTAAAACATTTAAGATCATAAAGTATATCTTGTATTTTACTAACATAAACATTCAAAGGAAAAAAAACATTCAAAGGAAATACAGAGTTAATTTGCTTTGCCTATTTCATAAGGTAACTGATGGGGAAATGAGATCAGAAGGTTCTGCAGGGCCCTGGAATTGTCTATAAAAATTAGGAAATTGGTTAAGGGTGAAAATAGGCCTCCAACTAGCTCTTTGTTTCATTACCTTATATGTTTTTCACCTAACCAGAAGTTTGCTTGTTTGTTTATTTTTTGGTACCGGAAATTGAACTCAGGACTTCATATACCAGGCAGGTGCTGCACCACTGAGTGAAATCTGTGGCCCCAGAAGTTTTATTTTTAAAAACTGCCAGCCATTTCCTAAAAAAATAGAATACACACACACACACACACACACACACACACAATATAATTTTTTTTTGTGAGGCAGGTGCTTATGCTACTGAGCTAAATCCCTGGCCATAAATTTAGTAATATGTTGTAGCAACTCTCATAAATTACTTTGTAGTTAATTAGGTGTTATGGAGTGGTTTGTTTATTAAAATTAAGCTCAGAAACATGTTTTTGGGTTTCTCCCTAAGTTGTTTTTCATTTGCAGCTTTGTTTTATTTAGTGGCATAAAGGTGAACATTTGTCAGCTTCTCATTCCAGCTGATGTATATATATATTTTTAATCTTACAGTTCAGAAGTTTTTAACAGGAATTTTTCTGTTGTCTTAACCATAATGTCTTCTAAGAAGCAAAGAAACTCTACCCTTTGTTCTGTTGTGAGGAGGACTTGTTAGTATTTGAGAATTGAACTAATTTCTCAGAGTTACACATACTTGGTTTTGCTTTCATGTATGTATCCTGATTTTGTTTAGAATATACAAATTACCAGGTGAAGAGTATATTTGATAAGGCAGAGAATTGAACAGATTCTTACTGTTACTCATTATTCATTTTTAAATCCCCTGTCTAGATTTGGAGGTTGATATGTGGAAGACTAATTTGCCTTGATTTGAAAGATACTTTCTGCAGTAGTCTACTTATTTATAATTTTAGGATATTTGAAAGAAGATATGGGAGCAGAAAATTTGCAGTAAGTTTTTAATATATTTTGCCTTTGCTATTTAGATTATATGGAAAATTTTTTGCTTTCTTCCCTCCATTTTAAAATGGGTTTTGTTTACTTAAACTTACTGTTTATAATTGTCTTTTTAATTACTTGATCCTATATCTGATTTGGGTCATGGACAGTAAGCAAAGAAAAATTTAAAATTTAAGACAAAAACATAATAAAATCATAACTTGATGATGATGCTGATGAGAGAAGATATATTATTTGTGAGCAGGTAATAAAATTTTTATTAGGATTTTAGTTTAGTAAAATTCTAGTCACTGTATTTTGCTTAATGGTTTATGTATTACTTGTTAAAATACATCTTACTATAAATATCATTTTTTCAATATATTTAGAGAGTATGGAAGCTAAATTATTTGAATAAGTGTGGTTCTATTCCCCAATTTTGAAAAGTCTGTTCTAATAAAAACAAATCATTAAAATACACAGACACATCCCATACTGGTTCTAATGAAATAAATGTTTGTTTTTGGCAACTCATTTCATGCATGTTTTTCCTGTTTTGTTTTTTAGTCCTTTTTGCTGGGCTCCTGGGTTCTGTCAGCTTTGTTTGACTTCATCCTCGTTGAAGCCATGCAGTATTCATTTGGCATTGCTGCTGCTGGTAATTTGCCTTCTGGATTGTAAGTAGCTCTTAAATGTTGGCTTAACTTGGAACTCTTAAATATAATTTAAGCTATTATTGTTCATACAAGTTAGTGAAACAGTATTTTAAAGTTTTAGACGTTAAAAAACCAGTATATCCTTATATACTTACTGTGTTCTAGAAGCAGTCAATTTACATTAACCATTCTTTTTTTGAGCTCTTTAAATTCTGTTTTAGAGAACTTTTAATGGATTTGCTATTTGGGTCCAAAAGATGGATTATTCTATGTATTTTTTTATATTGATATTTTGTATTGTAATTTTATTGACTGATTAAACACAAAATAACACATTTATTTATTTGTTTATTTATTTTGGTACCAGGCATTAAACTCGCGACCTCATGCTTGCCAGGCAGGCGCTTAGGCCACTGAGCTAAATTCCCAGCCCCAAAATACAACATTTAATTAGATTAAGAAGTAAAATAAATTTGTATAAAGTTAAGTTTGTAAAGAATTTTTTTAAAACTTACATGGTTTGTAAACCTCCATCAAAGGCAAAATAATTGTATAGGTTACAACTTTGTACACAACTTGCAGTGACCACCCTAACTCAGTGTGTGTATAATTCCATATTGTGTTGATTTTTAAAAACAAACAGCCAGGTATAGTGGTGCATACCTGTAATCCCAGTCCCTAGGAAGCTGAGGCAGGAGGGTTGCTATGAGTTCGAAGCCAACCTGGGTTACTGTGAGTTTAAGGCCAGCCTGAACTACCTAGCAAGACCCTGTGTCAAATAACTAAAAAACAAAACAAAACACTACCCTTCAAAAACCAAAACTGTGTGTTAGTGTGGCTTTAAGGTATCTCTGAATGAGCTATATGAGGCTGTGTTTGGGTGTGAGATAGTGTGAAATACAGATCCTGGGTGTTTAAAGTTATGTGTTTACTAGATTTAGCTTGTTTTAATCGTAAATATCTGATTTTGAGACCTGTTAAGCTACTATGTATTGTATCTCAATTCAGATTCACTTGGGATTCCTGTTTTACACACATAGTGTTCTAATAGGTTTTAGTTGTATTGTTAGTGTGCACACTGTAGTTTTCCTTCATGGGATTTTTGAATTATAGTGGGCGTGAAGATCTGTAAAGGTTGACCTTTAGCTATTTTAATAATATGTGGTTCCGAATCGCATTTTAGTGGAGGCTGTAAAGTTCTATAATTATAACTACTGTGCAGGGTTTTTTTTTTTTTTTTTTTGCTTAGTCTGATGGGTCAGGTACTTGCTGAGAATTTTAAGTTGACTGTTCTGATCTTGTGAACACAGTGCTGTCCTCAGGAAAGAGTCACGTTAATTCCAGAAAGAAGCAACATTGCAAAATCGTCTGTCTCTCTTGAACTGTGTCTTCATCCAAGTCAGTTCTTTCTGGTTTTCTGTGAAGCCTGCTGAGCTTTGGAAGAGTGTGTGTGTGTGCCATGTATGTTTGCCTTACAGTACACTTAGTGGGGGAGGGGTAGTAGCATAGCTTTTCTTTTTATGTTGACTATTTGTCTGATGATGGTTTTTTCTACTGCACTTCGAGCTGGGATGACAACAGAACCTTTATGTTCGTTTATTTCATTATGAAGTCCAGTCAACTGGTACATGAAAAAAGATCTAATTTAGTTTTGAAGTTGGAGGGAAGTTTTTAGTTACTTTTGAGAGAGAAGTATTTAAATCTGTTAGTAGCAAGAGTTGCAAATTTGAATAAGCTCCAAAGGTCTAATGTTCCCTTGGGAAAACACTATGCATATTAATATTCAGCCATGCCTGAATGAAAAGGTATTTCCCTTTCTTTTCAAGTCATAAAACATCTTAGTATTTTTTTAGAAGTTTGACACTTCTGCAACCATAGTCTTCTTGAAACATAAGTCCTTATATTAATTTTTTAAATATTTCTCTTCTTGATGATAGCAAAGCTTCAAAGACTTATTCTTTCTTGAAGTGGAAGCTATTCTGTCTTAGAGTGCTTTACATGTTGCATTGTTTTTCATTTGACATCTTTTTCTTTTCCATTAGTACCAAATTTATCTGCACACTGTACAATTTGTATTTTACTTTGTTATTATTTTATTCATCACTATTAAAATTTCTCTTATAAAGACCTCCAGTGACCACCAAATTTGTAAAAGCCACCAGTCATCCTGCTTGCACGTCCAGTTGCACATTAAATGCTTGTAACCTCTTTGTATTCCCTGAAAGCTTCAAATCCCCAGCGCACTGTCTCTCCGTCCTTCCTGACCTTAGTCACTGTGTGCACGTCTCTTCCCCAGCTCATTCCCATGGGTTTCTTGGCTATTTCCATCACTGCCGTGACTTCATCTACTGTTCACGTCTGTTGTTTGTTTCTTAGCCTCTATTCCCAGCCCCGTGCACTCCTGATCTTTCTACAGTCAGGCTTCCTAATGACTTCTAGACTCAAAACGTACAAGTTGTTACGTCTTCTGTCTTTCTCTCCTCTTGTCCCTTCTGTCTTCTTAATGACTTTCCATGTACCTGGTTGTCCAAGCTGTACATCTTCCCCTGGGGTAGGGCACTGAATCTTACTAATTCAAACTCCTAAACAGCTCATTTGTTCATCTTTTTCTTTACTTCTCTTGTCATCATCTCAGTCTATACTCTGATCTTTTCTTGCATGAATTTTTTTAAGCAGTCTCTAGTTTTCCCTGCTGATTTTCGAGTATTCTGCACAAGAAGTTACCTTTTTTTTTTTTTTAAATTTTCTTAATACAGTCTTGACTATGCCAGTCCTTGCTTTTAATACCTTTAAATTCCCATATTCTTCAGAATAAAGGTCAGATTCTTCCAAAATGCCACCAAGGCCATCTGAAGTAGTGGGAGTGGCAGGGGCTTTGTCGTCACAGATTTGAGATTCCAGCTGTGCCACTTTCTAGGCAAATGAAGTCTTGAGCAAGTAGCTTCTCTGGAGTTCTGTTGCTGAGCTCTCTGTACCGATAACCGTCATGTGTCAGTTCAGGGTACTCGGTGCTTTACAGCTCAGTGGAGAGGGATCAGTAAGCTCACTCACACTAAGATGCTTCCAGTAGATCCTGCCCTCCTCTGTTGCTGTTCTTTTCTTTAAGATTTTATAATCTGACCACCATCCAGTGTTTCAGTCTTTCCTCCTTCAGTCATTACTTTTCTCACATGCCATATGCAGCATTTCTATTCTCATGCCTATGTGGTGTGCTCTTGCCTTTTGCTAGAATTCATTGCCCTTTTTTTTTTTTTTTTTTTTTTTTTTTTTTTTTTTTTTTTTTTGGTCTTTTTCATTTTTTATCGGTACCGGGGATCGAACTCACGACCGCCTGCTTGCAAGGCAGGTGCTTATGCCACTGAGCTAAACCTCCAGCCCCTTCATTGCCCTTTTTTATGTATTTTCAACATACATTTTATTAATATTCCTATTGATATTTACTACAATGTATTATTATATTATTATTATTGTACATGCTTTTGATGCCACCTACCAACTGTTTGAGGGGGAGCCAGGTTTTACTTTATGCACTTATTTCCTTATATTGATTGGATATACTGATAGGATGGTCTTAATTACAGTGAGTCCCAGACTGTGAGATAAGATCTGTGAACTGTACATAGACCTATGCATCTATTCTTGTAGCGCTTTGCATAGAAATTATATTATACACATAATTACACAATGGGTATTCATCGTTATAAATTCAGAAAATACAACCACTGGTTGCAAAGAAGCTCTGTTATTAAAAGCCATATGTGTATAGGTATAGGTATATAAATGCATAGATATCCTGTGTCTGGTAACCATGCTTGTCACACATCTACTCTTAGGTGCTGTACTTACCATTTTATAGTAATTAGTATTTGCATGTGGCATTACATTATTTCCCAGAATCAAACTCCTCCAGGATAGAATTATGAATTTTTGCATATTTTGTTAAAATGTGTCTAATTACAATACTGATTTTTTCATAATTTTTTTACACATTTTCATAAAATGTATCTAATTATCATAATTTTTCATTGTTTTAGATGGTTTATAATTTTATTGTGAGAATGGCAATACACATTTTCACTTTGTTGATCAAAGTCTTTCATTGTTCCTTGTGCTTCGAGACTAAACTTGTCTTATCAGTAAACTATTGCAGAGACCTTTCCACTTACTAAGCTGCAGAAGAGTGGACTTGTCTCTAGAGCTGAAGGCAGGCTATGACTGTGTGTCTTTTTTCTGCTCTCAGTGCTGGGATTGAACTAGCTTGGTGTGTGGTAGGCAGACACTCTGCCACTGACCCACACACCAGTCAACTATGTGTGGGCCAGAAAACTCCGTACTAAGTACAAAAATTACTTCTTTTGCTTTAGTAGTAATTACTCTTGAAAGATATTAATGAACATATTACTTGGCTATTCAAGCTAAGAATGTCAAGTAGTTGTCTTTGTTGAAAGAGATTGCATCTCAGTTCTTGACTGCTGTATCTTATATAGTTATGACAGTGTTTACATTTGGTAAAGCTTTTTATTTTTTTACTATTGAAAAATAGACCTGAAAGGAGAATCAAACTTGGTTTCTAGTTCTGCTTCTTTAGCTGAGTAAATCACATAATTTCTTTCAAGCTTAGTTTCTTTATATTTCAGGGAAGTTCTAGGTTATCTGAGGGATTGTCTAGTGCCAACGTACTATTTTGTTAGCTTCCTTCTATCCTTTCATACTTTCTTTCTTTTAAGAGTATAAATGTACCCATGTGAATTCTAGAAATGCATTTATAAGCAGTGCAGGTGTTTGGTTCTTAGTCCCATTAGGATATGATCATGTTAACAGTAATAAAAATGCTTTAGCAGAGAGGGGATTATATTGAACCTTTTTCTTTTATTTCTGTATTTAGAATGATAGTTTTATAGATTATAGTTTTCTTTCTCTTTTAGATAGGGAGGTTATTTGGTTTGTTACTTTATGGAGACGTTAAATAGCCAGGGTAGGATATGCATCTGAGGTCCCTGATTAGTGCTACTTATGCTGTGACATAGAGCCTGGAAAAATCTGTCTTTTGTGATATAATATTTAATTATACATGAAGAGCAAACTGTCTACATTGGAGAAAAATTTCTTACTACATAGTAAAAAGCTCAGGTCACAGAGGTGAATTGGCCTCTTGGGCAGAAAAAAAGATTTCAGGTTGCGTCTTATGTAGGGTGTTTTCAAAAGAAAATGAATTTACAGTAGGTAAGTACCAGCGGGTGTGGGGTTTCCAGGGCTCTCTGCCACTTGCCATCAGGAGTTTTGCCTAAACTAGTAATGTGTTAGATTGAACATAGTTGCTTGTGTAAAAATCTGAGAAATTTGGGGTATAGAATATTAAGTATTGAATTTAGATCTCTAGTCCTGAGTGTAAATTAGACATGAAAGAGGTGCAAGTACATAGAAGATAGTTTTTTCAAATTATTTGGAGCAGTAGCTGAGTTTTTTTTTCATATGGTCACTTGCACACTGAATTTAATCTGGAGCGTTAAGTCAGGGTATTTTTTTCCTCTTAATTCATGAAAATGTTTTACAAGGAAAATCATAAAAATTCAAATCAGGATATTGAATGATATTGCCACAAAAATAAGATTTTAAAGTTTGAAAAGTTTTTTTTTAAAAAAAAAGAAACATGAGTTTTTCAAAGTTTATTTAGATAAACTCGATAATGTCACCCAGAATCTCCACTAACCCTACAGCAGTTGAAGGACGAATTTTAAAGAGAAGAGAAACCACCTTCTTCGGGTCATAGCATTTCACTGTTGATGTTGCTGAGCGATCTTAAACTCCCGGAGCGGAAGCTGGAGCGGAAGCTTTTTCTGCGCACGCTGCGGAGGTAGTTGCGGTACAGCATGACGCTGATGACGCGCGCTTGGAACTGTTTGGACACGATGTAGTAGAGAATCACGTCCAGGCAAGTGCTGAGGTTCATGAGGAAGGTGGTGAAGGCGCCCCAGGGGCTGTAGCTGTTGTCTTCCCCGTCCAGCATCAGGAGGGCAAAGCAGATGTGGAAAGGCGTGAAGCAGATGAGCACCTGCAGCAGGAGAGTGATGATGATCCTGATGGACTTCTCCTTGACCTTGGGCTTCAGCTTGGACGTCCTGCCGCGGAGCAGACTGTGGATGATGACCAGGTAGCACCCAATCATGATGAACAGAGGGGTCAAGAAGAAAAATACCAGTCTAGTGAAGTTGAGTGCATTGACGGCTTTTAGGTGGATGATGTCAGAGATCTTCAGGCAGGTAGCTGGGGAGGAGGCCCTGTCTGGGTCTTCATAGAGTAGGAGCAGGGGGACAGTGGTGGTCAGGGTCATTATCCAGACTCCTACACAGGCGAACACCGCTTTCCACGTGTTTTTCAGTTCTTTGGCGTACTTTGGCTGCACAATCGCCATGTATCTGTCGGCACTAATAAAAGCGAAAAGCCACAGAGCAATGCTTGGGTAAAACACCACGAGAACCCCCAGGATGTGGCAAAAGTATTCTCCAAACGGCCATTCACCTTTTGCATAGTAAAACATTCTGAAGGGCAAAGTCAGTATGAATATTAAGTCCAGTAGTGCCACGTTCATCATATAGATGGTGACGGTGGTTCTCTTCTTGGTGGTGCAACTGAACACCCATAGTGCGGTGACATTAACAAATAATCCGATTATGAAGATACAGCTGTAGAAAACAAGGGCGGCGGTTGTAAATTCGTCTGGATGTGAGCTGTTGGAGGAGACAGGTTGGTCTGGGTTGCTTGGGGTAGTCATCTTAGAGCTTGCTGATGGTCATGATACTCAGAACCTGTAACCATAGTTCGAAAAAATTAGAAGACCCTTGGTTGAAAAGTAGATACTTAACATTCTTACACTGTTTTCTGGTTAATGAATTTTAATTTTAAAAATATCTTAAGAGTATTTAACGTTGTAGACTCAATAAGAAATATGTGCTTTGGAGGTAATTGCTATTATGCATTATCTTTTTTTTTCCCCTGTACTGGGGCTCAAACACAGGGCATCATACGGACCAGGCACACATTTTACCACTGAGCTACATCCCAGTCTTGATATTGTACTTGTGTAGTAAAATGACTTGGGCTGTCATAGCACTCTGGAAAATCATTCATATTCATTCTCTCTGCTCACCTTTCCTCCCAACGAATATGCCTTTCTTCATGATTCTCTTCTGTAGTGTGAAATTGGGCAGCATTCTTTGGAGTAATTGGGCAAAATCAGGCTGGATTTTAAATCTTATAAAAATGGTTTGCCATTATTTACTATCCTCATTCGATTTATACATTTAGTTACCAAAATTAGTAAGGTCCAAATAATAATTTTTTTACTCATTAGATATAACTTCAATTTAAAAAATATATTTTAGAAAACTAACAAAAAAAACCATACTAATTATTACTGGACAGTTCGTCTGAGAGGAGAAACTTTTTCTCATTCCTGTGTCTTTACTGTCTATTGAACACATAGTGGCTGCTTAGCAAGTAAATACCTGTCAGATGAAGGATGGGTTTGATGAGATGATCTCAGCAGCCCTTATCTGGTTTCTCAAGGAAGGCTTCCATAGCTACCCATTAAACTCTTATTATTTTTAAAGTAGCAGTTACATGGCAGCCTTTTGGCTAAGATCAGGTGTAGTATCTTTTCTTCCAGTTTAATATTTGATGTATTTTCTATCCGAGGACAGTGTATAGATTTTGGGGGCTGGGAGATGGGGCTTACTGTGTCACTCTGGGCATTGACCTTGTATTGTGGTACCTCCCAGAATGGTGCATCCTCTCAAGAGGAATAAATGTTTGCAAAGCTCAAGGGAAAAAAAGTAAACATTTTTCTTCATAGTATTATGTTACATTCTCTTTGGGTTATTATAGGTCTAGAAGCAGCAGTGTTCTGTGTCATGGTCCCCAAATGGAGACCTGGACCATTGATGAGCTATTTTCAGCAAGCAGTAGGGCGGGCCCAAGGCGGGGGCTGTCTGGTCACCAACCTGTGCCCCAGAAGCTGATCTCAGCTGCCTCTGTGGTGCACAGAAAGCAGTGCCTTGAAAAAATTACTGCAGCAGAGTAAGTAACTTGCACTGAAGCCTCCATACTATTTGTCAAATTTTAAAAAGGAGGATCCAGCTGGGCATGGTGGCTCACGGCTGTAATTCCAGCACTTAGGAGACTGAGGCAGAATTATTGTGAGTTCAAGACCAGTCTGGGCTACCAAGTGAGCTCAAGGTGAGCCAAAACTGCATAGCAAGACCCTGTCTCAGAAAATCACACACACACAAATAAATAAATGAATAAAATAAAAAGGATCCAAGAGAAGCAGTGATAAGTTACTTGGCAACTTGATGTATATATAGCAACTAATGCATTCCCATCACCCAGAAAATGTGTCCACTTCAAGTGGGAAGGGATTGAGCTGTGACTATAACTATCATAGACTCTGGTGGTGTGAAACTTCCTTTGCCCCTGAGGCAACTGCCAACAGAGGTTTTAAAAATAGCCTTTCTTGGCTGAGGATTTAGCTCAGTGGCACAAGCACCTGCCTGGCAAGTGTGAGGTCGTGAGTTTGGTCCCCAGTACAATAATAATAATAATACAAAAATAGTCTTTCTACAAAGAGATAGAACCTCGAGGCATCTTCTAGAAATATGGTGGTGTTAGAAAAACGTCCTTCAAAAATGTCACTTTGTGGAATGATTGTCTCTCATTTAACCCTGATGTCCCCTCAGTGAGATCCATGGGGGACATGAGCAGCCCGTCATCCGTGGCATCATGGACTGTTGATGAAAATTAATCTGAACAATTGCTTTGGACAAATAAAGGATAAAGAGTTTGTTCCCTCTCCCCTGCCCTTCTTCCCTCCTTTCCTGATTTCCTTAACTAATTTGCCAACTCTTGGGGATAAATGTGATTTTGGAATAGGGTTCTCTGTATTTAAAAACCTACAGAAGATTTTCCAAGTCTTGACATAACTAGATGTTAATTTCTGTGAAGTGAGAAAAGTACTACATAGAAAAATTCAGACTTTATTGTATAGAAGAGAATACTTAGAGGCTTAAATCTTAATTTTATTTTTAAATATCAGTGAATTTATAAATAGCAATTACAATGTAAATGAAATTTTGTTTTCTTTTTTCTCCACCCCTCATTTTGCTCATAAATTCCTGTGTTTAAATATTACCATAAGTAAACTTTCCCATTTGGGTTCAAGCTGCTTTTACTAAGTCCATTTGTCATGATTTGCTTTAGTTTGAAAAAAATGACAAGAGATGCATCCACATATCTTAAAGGCTTTATAGCATAGGTTGTGCTGTGCAAATACAGAACTGTTCTGGATAAGTATTAAATGATTAGCTTTCAAGCTAACTGGGAAAAGCTTTAGATTCCAGAATTATCTCTAGTTACTCTTTTCTTAAAAGCAAGTAATTTCATGAAACAATGTACTTCAAACCATGTGGCAGAAACACCTAACTATATTTATCACATTAACATTTTCTTAATTTGAAAAAAATCATACTCACAGTTAATATAAAAAAGTATATTGAAAAAGGTACAGAATCATATAAAACGGAAAGATGATAGCATAATCTAAGGTCCTTTACCAATTAGTTTCTGTAATTTTTAAAAACCTAAACGATGATGTCACATAGCTAGGTAAAGCATTCCTTCTGATAATAGTCTATCACAAAGTTAATCAAATGTTGCTTACCTTCACCGGTCAGAGGGCTGTCGTAGAAGTGAGCATTTTGTGGTATACCCAGTTCCGTAAAAGAGAGAGTTCTGAGTTGTTTGTGTTAAAGTATCTCTGTCTGGAAATGGTGCATTTCAGAAATGCTGTTTCTTTGGTGCTAAGCTCGCTTGCTGCTTTGAAGGATGTCTCAGAGGTAGTCGTTGGTAGAGGAGCTGCCTGTAATTGCTTCTCTGCCACTTTCAGGAAGTGCTCTTTGAAATACGTCTTTTCAACTTACAACTTTACCCTGGATGTGGTTTTTCTCTTTCACAAGTAATTTGTTTATGAAGTCATGCTTAACATAAGCTCTTGAAATGACGGCCAATATTTAACAGGGTTGTATGAAAAATTTTCTTTAACTATTTACTTTGATGCTTAAAGTCTGCATCATTTATGGACAGAGAAGATTTGATATTGAGAAGTACAGGGCTCAGTGCTTATTCACCTTCCAAGCTATGTGACCTTATCTAAATTCCTGACTGCTCTGAGCCTTTGTTCCTACTCAGTTTCTGTACAGATAAAAATAGATGTACCCATCTGGTGTGATGGTGAGGACACTAATTCAGAAGAATCCCGAGCTCATAACAAAGCACTGGGCACTTACAGGTATGCCTAAGCAGCTTTACCGCCATGTCCCTAAAATCATAGTGCCTCCAGTGTTACTGTTTAACCATTGCTAAGTAGTTACATCAAATCTCCAATTACTTGTTCCCGTTATTTGTTTCCATATAATTTACTCCGGTTTTATTTAAGTCTTCAGTGCTTTGTATCCCCTTTTTATCAGATGGAAGCCGAGATGTAGTTTCTCTTGCCTAAAGATCCCTGCAGATCTTAACAGAAAGGACTGTGGAAGGCTTCACATGGAATAATTTACATATTAGCAGTGATTAGACATAAAAAGGGAAACGAAACCAAGGGAAAAGGAAGTGAGCAACCCACACCAGTGCCTGCCTAATTATATTCATGTTGAAACTTTCCCTTTTCTGTAAAAAAATTTTTTAAAGTCTCATTTGCTTGGCCTGCAGTGTTAATTATGTTTGATTCAGTTCTAACCAGTTTGTCAGCTCTGAACAGGTACCTGAATTTAACTTCCTCCGTGTTTTTAATTTAAGAGTCTGATGGCCTGTGTTCTTTCTTCGGTGAAGAGGTAGTGAGTCTGGGCCTGACAAAAGTCACTTCAGGCCTTGCCTCTGGAATAAAACCCTTGAGTGTGGTAGCCTGCCGGCCTGCTGGGCTTTAGGAGCTTTGGAGACAGCCATAGTGACTTCCCATGTGCAGCCTTCACGTATTTCACAGGCTGTGACACGTTTTTCTGAAATTAAGTATTGATTAGCTTTCTCTGTGCTGCTCCAATTACCAGATGCAGCAGTGGCACGTTCTCATTAAGATCTGAGCCCTGGCCTGTACATGACATTACTTTTGAACTGTCAGTTTCTTAGAAGTGTGTCCAGGGGCAAATGCAGGGATCCCCATAGTGCTTAAGGTTGTGGTCCACTTTTTCGACTTTGCATCCTACTCTTCAGTTCATCCTGAGTGGGACCTTTTGCCTGCTCTTTTCATCCCCGCACATGCCGTCCTCCCCGTCGCCCTTTATCCTCAGAGCTGCCTTTTCTTGGAAGCATTCTCTGCCATCTAAAGCCATCAGGTCCATCAGTCCCTTAAGTTTCCTTCGCGATGGTTGCTCCCCCCTGTGGTGGCGAGTGTGTATTACAGCCTCACATTCCTAGGTTGCTGGCGTGGGTTGTGTCTGTGCATAGAGGGGCGTTTAATTTTGATTGAATATGTGAACAACCAGGTAAAGAGGTCAGGGGAGTAATGGATAAATTCCTGAGCCGGGTGAGAGCAGCAGAGACACCTGGGGCAGTTTGTGAGATGTAGAGCCCTCCCATTCCCCAAGGACCCTGTGGCCTTAAATGTCTCCTCTGGCCCTGGCTCTTCATCATGATTTTTTTTTTTTTTTTTTTTTTTTTTTTGGTGTTTTTTGGTGTTTTTATCGGTACCGGGGATCAAACTCACGACTGCTTGCTTGCAAAGCAGGCGCTTATGCCGCTGAGCTAAATCCCCAGCCCCTTCATCATGATTTTATATTGGGAAGGAATTACAGCCAAAAAAACTCCCCAACCATTTACAGCAAGTAACATTGAATCCAGTATTAAACTTTTATAATGTCTGGTTTTCTTCTTTAATACTTGAGCCCAGTGAATTTTTATTCAAACAGAGGAAGTTGTCTCAATCAGGAAGCATTCCTGCCACTTTAATTTCCTCACTCACTTTGGAATGCAAGTCAAAGAGCATTTTTAGACCTCACCAGAAAGAGGTCTCACATATTCTTAGGGGACCGCAGGGTTCTCCTCACTTCATGAAATACTCTGTTTTAGCTCTGGCTTTGTGTTTTGGTTTAAATTGTAGAGACTCTGAGTGAATTTTGATTTTAACACGAGAGCTGAGGCTTTGAGTGAATATAATGCTATTCAGTTAAGCCAGTTTTATAATTGTTAGAAAGGATGCACTGCATAGATTTAGATGGCAACTCCCCACTGTAAAGCGCGCTGTGGATTAGAGGTTTGTCTGTGCTGCAGATAAAATAGTGTTTCCTGTTCCTAACTGAGAATGACAGAGACCCCCCGGGAGGTCTTCTCATGTGGCCCTAAGGTTCTCCGCTTTGGTGTTTTGGAACTTTGGTCCCCTGCTTCTCTCTTTCTCATGCTTGTGTCTAAACTGTACTTTTGGGTTTGGGGGAGCTGGACTAGAGTGAGGGGACTTGTTGAATATTAGGAGTAGATGTTCCCAAGGGATGGTTGGATTTTGTTAGCCTCTTGGTGTTACTGGGCCTAGAAAGAGCTCTGTCGGTTAGGGAGCTGAAGACTTGAGTAAGTACTCAAAAATGAATATATCAAGTGTCCAATGAAGATATATACCTGCTCAGCTTCATGTGTAATCAGGGAAATGAAAAGTAAAATCACAAAAAGGCATTACTTGTGCATCAAAATGCTCACAGTGAGAAATTCAGCAGCAATTGAATGGATAGGTCAGTGGTGTAGACTTAGAGGCGGTGCTGCTTGCAGTCAGAATGAATGGTTTACAAGGCAGATGTGCCAGTGTGAATGAATCTGATAAATACAGAAACAAAAAACCACATGTGAATTCATAGTGAATGATTCTATTGTATGAATTTCAAGAAGCGGGCCATACTTAAGTATTTAGGAGTTCACTCTTAGCTGGTCATATCTTTTTGTAGGGTTGCAGGAGCAGTAATATTAAGGAAGGGAAAATGACCATGTTACCAAAAGCAATCTACAGGGTCAGTACAATTCCTATCAAGAAACCAGTGACACTTTCACACAATTAGAAGAAAAGATAATAAAATTCATACAGAGGCATAAAGCCCTAAAGTAGCCAAAGCAATTCTGAGCAAAAAGCAGTGCTAAAGCCACGTGTGGTGGGGCCATGCCTGTAATCCCAGCATTGAAAGACTGAGGCAGGAGGATCATGACAAGTTTGAGGCTAGCCCAGGCTACAAAATGAGTTCAAGAACAGCCTAAACTGCGTAGTTAAACTTTGTCTTAAAAAGACAGACAGACAAACAAAAAAAGAGCCATGCTCTTCCTGATTTCAAAATGTCCTACAAAGTCGCTATAGAAATAAAGCAGTATATAGTACTGGCACAAAAATAGACACATAGACCATTAGAATAAAGAACGGAGAAACAAACGCATGCAGCAGCAGCCACCTTATTCTTGACAAAGGGCCCAAAAGCATATGTTGCATAAAAGATGGCCTTTTTAATAAATAGTGCTGGAAAAATTGGATATCCATACTAGGAGGCTAAAACTAGATTCCTGTCTCTTGCCTTGTACAGAAAACCAGTTTAAAATGGATCAAAGAACCTGGGTAGAAGACCTGAAAGTTTCAAACTCTTAGGGAAAAGAATTGCAGTCACAGGCATAGGCACAGGCCAAGATTTCCTGACTAGGAAATAATAGCAAGGATCAACAGATAAGTTTACATCAAATTAAAAAGCTTCTTTACAGCAAAAGAGTGAAGAGGCAGCCTACCGAATGGGGAAAAAGTCTCTGCAAGGTACTAGAGGGTGGCTATCCAGAAGCCATGAAGAACTCAAAAAGCTTGACACAAGCAAACAGGCAAAACTCAAAGAGCTCCATCACTAAGCAGGCAGAGCTCTTAAAAGAGCCTTCTCAAAAGAAGGATAAATGACCAATAAGTGTACATAAACACGTATATTTAAAGAAATGTTCACTGTTGCTAGCCACCAGGGGTATGCAAATCAGAATTACTCTGGGGTTATCTCAACCTTTCAGAATGGCAGTTATCCAAAATACAAAACATCTATAAATGCTGGCCAGGATGTGGATAGCAAGAACTCTTCTGCACCGTTGATGGGACCATAAATTAGCCCATCCTTTGTGGAAATCAGTGTGGAGTTTTCTTAGAAAACTAAACATGGATTTAGCGGTTGATCCAGCTATATACTACCTCCTATTACCATAAGAATTAAAGTTAGCAGGCTGAAGATACCTACACACTCGCGTTTATGGGAGTGCAGTTCATAACAGCTAAACTAGGAGAAAGCTAGAGGCCCATCAGTGATGAATGCATGAAGCAGATGTGGCAGATATACACCATGGAATATTCAGCCACAGAGAACAAAATCATGTCATTTGCAGGAAAATGGTCCGGAGACCATCATGTTAAGTGAAATAATCCAGACCGAGGAAGTCAAGTATCACATTCTTTCATATGAGGAATCCAGGGGAAAAGAGACAAAGAAATGCTGTGAAAGGAAAAAGGAAACCAGTGAAGGAGATGGAGACAGCCAGAGGAGGAAGAGGAGGTGGAGGAAGAAGAGGGAGCCCTGACCATCATGCCTGTGCAAACAGCAACGTGAAATGCCCTGGTGCATTGAGTGTGCTTATGTTAAATAAAAAAGTAAAACATTTGGAACATGGGAGGGAGGGACACGACATCTGCTTGGTGGCTCCTTGTGGCTATTGCTTGGTTGTTACTCTTGCCCCTGGGAACCCAGGCAGCTTGAGGGCGGGAAAGTGGGTGCCAGAACCCGTGGAGTGGGCAGCCTGGGGACAGCCCTGGTTTCTGTTGAGGTTTTCTAGAGGGAGGAGCTGGGGATAAACACCCGGGCCTCAGGCAGCTCCTGGCCTGACTCCCCTCCAATGGTCCGTGAGTGGGACTCAGCCGGAAG